TTGGCATACAATTTGTTTAGCCCGATCCGCATACCTGAATTATCATTGAAATTACATAGGTATTGATTTATATGCTTCAATAATCTAAAACCAAAAGTACATATCTTAAAGAAGAGAAATCAGTTGTGGGTACGAAAAAATTAGTATCTGTTGCAATTACAGGGAGCTTGTGATACTCAAATGTGCATAGAACAAAATGAATGCAAAAGCTTTTGATAAAACAAAAGCGATATTTTTTGTTTTTAATTTTAGATGACAAGCTATTGATGAATTCAGTGAATAAGCATCATAACAATGAACTTTTTTATAATTGCAGTAAGACCTTGAAAAGGTACCTCAGAGTACTTAGCGTTTCATCGAAGTTAATATCGGCAGGTGATAGTGCAGCAATCATTGCAGTTTTCGAATTTCCTCCGAGGTTCTCTCGCAAAAGCCAAGTGAGCACCGAATCGCGATATGGTATCACTGACTTAGCCTTACCTTTCTTTTTACTTGCCTGAAACGAGCAGTATATTAGAAATGTAAAAAAGCTTAGATCAATGAATTTGGAAATATTTTATATTTCATAAAAAGTAAGCCGAAGCCATCATTTATTAAAATATAAACCACTCATATCATGGGAATTTCATATGATAAACTAACTTCGTCAGCCAATTTTGAGATGACAAGCCCAAGAGTTGTTAAACTTTTATTGATATTAGCACCCTCTTTTAAGCGCTGTCCCTCAGCACCCGTTGATGTAGCTCGCTCACTTCCAGCCAAGTCAACTAATGAAATCTTGCTGACCTATAATTTGTACATTTGAAAGAATTTAAATAAATTTGTTGAATTCAAGCAAGAAATCCGACTTCAATGATTTAACTGGACGAAAAATATAAGCATCCAGGTAAGTGAAAGGAAAAATTAGACTAACCTTTTCGCAATCCAGATTTGCGTCTGGATCATGTTTCCTCTGGGTCAGAACAATTGTGAAGACGGCATGTGAACGACTCGACGTTGAATTCATATTTGTTGCAGCTACGGTTCTAAAAAATTTTCAGTGATTACATTCTTCAGTTTAAGTCTGATTCACTTTTAATAATAAATTACATTGCAAGGTGTCCTTCCTTGCTAAGGAAGCTGAAGTAAGTAAGGTGTTCTTCTTTGCTTATAAAGTGGTAAAATGATTTCAGAATTTGATTTTGGATTCCGAATTCAAAAATAACGGAATGGAGCAGAATATTTACCTGGCTTTGTTCCCCTCATCCATTAAATCACAAATATCTTGATAGGAGCATACTGCTAGTTTAGTAAGATCGTCGACATAGGGTCCGAGAAGAGGATGTTCTCGCACACGAAGATTCCCACCATTTGATGGATTCAACAAATCTCGAACTCTTTCACAGTAGATCTCCATATATGATACCTAACAAAAACCCGCAATAATGAGAATAATGAGAGAAAAGTCAAAGCTTAGATTAAAGTATACAATAAATTTCCCTACAACAATTTATTTGAGCGTTAATTGAAAGATTAAATTAAAATCACCTACCTCAACCGAATATTTCAAATTCAGATCCGAATTATCATGAATTTTTTGGAATAAATGATTGCATAAACGAGGAATAATACCCATTTCAGATTCGTCATTCGGTTTACCCATCATCGTGTAACTTTTACCGCTACCTGTTTGTCCATATGCAAATATGCAGACGTTGTATCTACGAAAAAAATTTTTTCAGATCGAAAATGTATCAATGAGAAATAAAGAAACTTCAACTGCGATATCCAAGAAAAAATTCAACCAGTAGATTCTTTGAAGTCGAAAAATCTTACCCTTCGAAAGCATGGTCCAACATTTCAACACCTAGATCCTGGTAAACTTGTAGCTGACTTGCAAAATTACTATCATTTTTATTGAATGACCAATAGGAGTAATCAAAGTTGAAACTATGTGTTCGTTCCGGACCACTTCCACCGATTATTGCTAAATAATCAATTTTAGCTCTTTTGGAAACACTGGAAATATCGGGAGCAAATAAAATACGTTTTTTGCTTTTTTTCCAGTATTTTTACATAAATCATTGCTTATCTTGTGTAAGCATTTGTTCAACTCTTAAAAGTTCAATACCTCGATTTCTTCGATTTCGAAATGCTCCGGTTTTTTCTAGAAAACTTTTCCTAGAAATGAATCAATGCTTTCACCCTTTAGCCAACTATCTTAACTTTCCTT